GGGCACGGCCGTCCCGGAGCCGCACGGGACGGCGCGGTGGGTCCCCATCCTGCAGGTGACCCAGGTCCCGGGGAGACCGAGGCAGGCGTTCCGGCCTTGCTGGGGCCTCTGGGTGGTCGGGACGGCTCGCAGCGTTTCCTCTACTTCTCCAGAAGTATCTGCTGCACTGTGTGGGGCGGAGAGAGGAGAAAATGACCCCCGATCTCCAGTTTCGACGATAATGAAACAGTAACAACCTCACCACGATAAAATGACAAAGCCGACCCAATGAGTACCGTCCCAGCAAACACGAGGGCTGGCCCCCAAAAAGCAGAGAGAAAGCAAGGGAAGGCGCGCTCTCAAAAACGGCAAAAGTGCAATTCTTCAAGACCCAGTATAAGCAATCTTCCGACCCTCCCCGACCGCCTGATTTTTATGAATTTACAAAACACTCGGGAGCTGACACCCTAAGGCCCACTCATTTATACCGTGGAGGTTTATTGCGTGGGTTGAACGATTTCTGGAAGGGGAAAACCGAATTTCAGCATCTCGGTGCTAAGCACGGTGGCACCTGCCTGGAGTTCCGGTATCCAGGAGGCTGAGGCGGGAGGATCCACCGTGCGTTTGGGGCCAGCCTCAGCTATATCATGAGTCCAAGGCCCGCCTGGACTACACAGCAAGGCCTTGTCTCAAAAAAACCAAGAAAAAAAAAAACCACAAAATGAATGTTTGATAAGAACATTCAGTACAATGGTGCTTTCTGTATCAAGAAGAAAAAACAAAACAAAACAAAAAACCAGATGAGGCTTCTATAGAAAATGGAAACCTGTGCTCTCCACGGCCCGCTGCACACACACACGAGGGTGTATACTGCGCACACGTAACAAATCCGTGTTAAAAAGTCACTTTGGGCAGAACAGCAGACACTGACTTCCCAAGCGTGTTGCTTCCGGAACCACAGTTATTTTTCAGCTCTATTTAAGAGCGCACCTCCGTTCGGCGGGGACTATAGTCCACGGGGACAATGCTGCAACCTCTCCATATGCGTTTTGCGTTTTTCTAGGGCTCCCGGCAGCAGCGGGACTTAATAGCAGAACTTGACCATAAGTCACACTTCCAAAAAAGGACATTTTTCCAGTCCCTGATGCACGCTGGCCCTGGGGGTGACCCCGTACCCACTCCGCACACAGCTCGGAAGTCACCAGCAGAGGGTCACAGTGGATTCTGTGTCATTTTTACCGAATGCCTCCAAACGCTGGCCCTGGGCGGGGTGGTCACGCCTGCCGTCCCAGCACTCTGGGAGGCTGAGACAGGAGGGTCACCCGTACAAACAGTAGCAATAGCAGCAACTGTAATCACACTCATGGCTCCCGACAGCCGGCATTCCCGCGCCCTCCTTACCGGGCGGCTCCGTGCTGGTGGTCTGACAATTCTGCAAGTCAACTTCGGCGTGTTCTGCTGCAAACAAGGAGAAAAAGAAGACACCCACAAGGCTCAGTCCGGCAGGCAACAGCCCTCAATGCCCCGAGACGCACTCTGAGTTGGCCGGGGCTGAGGCGAAGTTTCGCTGGGCGTCGGGATTCGAATCTGCGCCCCGACACACACACTGACCGCCCAGCTTGTGTTCGCCCACCACGGGGAGACCTCACTCCGGAAGCTTCCGAAGGTTTTTATTTACCTTTTTTGTCACCAGCTGCCTTCTCCTCCTCAAGCCAAAAAGCTCCCAACTTGGAACTTTTCCGGGGGGTCACGCATGACGCTCAAAAAACGTGGGGGGGGGGTTAAACCACTGCAGATCTTGGGTTTTCCTCGCGGGTTAAATCAGTGCAAACATTCTCGAGTGGAAACAAAGTAACCTCAACACTCCGCACCTTGTCTCTGGTTCCGCTCTCCGTGGCTCACACCCAGAGAGGTCTCCCACGAGACAAAACCAGTCAGGGGCATCGTTTGTGGAAACGGGGGCCCCCCAGACCTACCCCAAACAAACACACGGCATCTCGGAAACTGCGCCCCCGGTCGGGGCCTGAAACAAGGTTTTCTCCCTCGGCTTCCTTAATGTCCTCTTTCTTTCCTTACTTTGGGGCACAGGGAGGAGGCGGGGTCTCGCTATGTACCCCAGGCTGGCCTCTAACTCACGGAGATCCTCCTGCCTCGGCCTCCCCAGTTGCTGGAATGACAGGTGTGCACCACCACCCCCGCTCTTTCCGGGTAACCCCGGGCTGAGGTTATCCTGCCTCTGCCCCTCCACCCACTGGCCCCAGAATGCGGACTTGCGCATGGACATGGAAACACACCCCCCGGAGAAGTCACTGCTCACGAGGGCAGCAGCACAGCCAGAGATGATCCCGCCCGCCCGTCGCCTCCTCCTGTGTTTTTTTCTGCAGTCCGGGTCACCCCCATCCCTAAACCTCTGTTCGTTTCTTTCTCCCAGACAGGCCTCCGTGCCCATAGCCTTACTCCCTCTGGGGGGTGGCAGCGGACCCGCTGTGAAGGGCTGGAGTCAGCTCCGAAGGGCTGGGTCCTCGAGGGGATTCAAACCGCAAGTGTTGATCTCCTTTCCCGGCTCCTCCCTCCGCTCTCTGTTTCCTGGTCTCTGTGCCCCTCGCCCCGATCTTCCTGCCGAACGTGGACCGAACCCTTTCAACGACACGAACCGTTAGTCTCCCCCACCCACCTCTCTGTCCTTCCTGGCCACCATAAGCAACGGACCACGGACGGGACCTTCCAGAAACTGAGCAAAATAAACCCCTCCTGCTCTGAGACGTGGGTGTTGGCTAACCCGTCCCGGCCGTGCAGAGGACACCCCTCAGACGTCCTCCGGTAAAGCCCCTCTCCCCACTATGGCGTGCGCCAGCAGGATCCGAAATGTCACGGACACTCACAGACAAAACGCGTTTATTTCTTTTCTGTGTGGTTGTCAGTGAACACGAGGGCCGCACTCTCAGCGGGAAAGGAAACCGCACCCCACCCAGCTCAGCACTTAGAGCGAATGCGTCTCCCTGTGCGCTCAACCTTAATACGGGCGAGGCTGCGATGTCCGGTTAAAATATCGCGGAGAGGAAACGTATAGGGTGCGGAGCGTTAACTGTTAATTACGGGGATGGAAAAAAGCATTGCACTGAGGATTAAGTAAACACAACGATCCACAAGGCCCTGCCCGGCCCCTACACGAAAGCTGTGTTAGAAACCCAAGTCGTTAGATACGGGAGAGAGATGGATACTCGGACGGTCCGTGGACGGACGGGCGCCAGAAACGCACATGGACAGATGCAGGGACAGAGACAGATGGACACACGGAGAGATGCGGACAAACGCTTCAGGAAGGGCAAGCCGGGTGGACACGCTGGCCCAGACGGTCCTCTGGGCCACCTGCAAGGTATCGGCTTGTAAATCTGCACTCCTTTCAGAAGACAAGCACTTCTCCCCGCTGAGGGGAAAAAGGCGAAGAAGAAGAAACAAAAATCTCACTGGGCCACGAACCCCAGATATAAGGAGAGAACCAAGTGAAAGAAGGAAAATGGTCCACTGGAGCCGACAGACGACCAACTAGGTTAGTCACCAAGGCAACCACATGAGGCCAAAGTTCCCACATCGTGGGCCCCCAAGGGGAGAACAGATCCCACGAGGAAGCATCCACACCGCGCAGGCCAGCGTGGGGCTCAGAACTTGAAAGATCAGTTGGCGTGGTGGTGCACGCGGGAGGCTGAGGCAGGAGGATCTCCGCGAGTCCAAGGCCAGCCTGGGCTCCACAGTGAGTTCGGAGCCAGCCTGGACCACACGGTGAGATCCTGCCTCAAAAAACAAAAAGAAAACCAAAAAAGCAAAAATGCAAAAGAGTAAGCAAGGGGCATCTCAAAAAGTCCACTCGTGTGGGCTGGGGAGAGCAATCGCCAAGCGTGTGCCCGGCCCGAATCCGATCCGCAGCGCGGCAGCAGAGAAAAAGCAGAGAGCAACGCGTCAGCGACTTTCTATTGCTGTTAGAACAACCCGGAGGCCGTGCTGCTGCCAGGTGCCTCAGACGGCGAGCTTTGCTGTCACGGCGAGGGGTGGGGAGGCAGGGAGGGGAGGGCGCGGGCGCTCGGGGCGCGCACTGTGCACGACCTTAGGGTCTGAGGCACGTGGGTGACGCTGGCCTTTTCTGGGGCCGCGCACTTCTAACCGCCCGGGAAAGCGGGGAGACAGCGTTAGAGGGAG